TTCATAGATCTAGGCGCCTGCGTCTAGCGGTTGAAGACACTCATCCCCGTGGAAGTATGAAGTTGTCCTCAAATGCTAGACGCAGGCGCCTAGATCTATGAACCTACATTTCAGCGAGCTGCACCATTATTTCTTCACAGTTCGACGCTTCTTCGCCCGCTTGTGGCGTTCGATTGTGAGGTATTCACCGAAGACAGCGGCCAGACTGGGATGTCTTCAATCTGTAATGAATGTATAGTGCCTAGCAGAATCCCCCTAAGCATACTTCAATCTTGTCCTCCACTGAAGCTTTTCAATTCCTACTCAAACTGTTTCGCAAAGGCTGGAGTCAATCTTGACAATGCAGAGGATGGCTCCAAATCCTACTCATCGAAGTCATCATTTCTTTGATCGCTGGCCGCAGACAAAGTGGCAGGCTCCTGAGGATGCGATTTGATGCCTGATCCTTGCGATTTCTCCCCGTTCTGTCATGGGCTTTCTACAATGCTCGGAGATTCTTTGGCGCTGTTATGGGCAGCTCTGTTCGTCAATTGCGGAGAATTTGTCTGGCTGTCGGATGCCGCGACATTGTGTCCCTGCTCTTTTATGGCAATACTATCGTCAACCCACTTGCCGACAAGTTCGATCGCCTTCTCGGGATCCTGACGATGTTGCAGGCAGAATGTCGTGCCCATAGCTGGCGAATCACCATACCTTGTAAAGCGCAGCATCTCTACCAGTTTGCTTGCAATAAAGATTCTCTGGAAACTCCAGCTACTTTCTGGCTGTTTCCACAGGTCTGTTCCCAAGTTCATGGCGATGCTGCATTGTCTGAGCTCTTGCGTGTTGCTCTCATTGATGCTGGTTGAGAAAGGCCTTGAGGATACCGCTGGAAGCACAGCCGTTTCCCGTGCGCAGGCGTGTTGGATGTGAATGTCATGGCGATGGTAAGTTGCAAGAAGTTGGAGAGGTTGAGGGCTTGGCAGGCGGACCATGCGCTGAATAAGCCTCGAGCCAATCACATGCCGCCAAGAAAGTTATGACGGAGGTAAGGGTCCTTCTGAGCGGCGCCCAACACAGCAAATCAAAGAAAAAGCTGCGTCGACTATTGTTGGCAACTTTTGCTTCACCACTTCCTTCCTCCACTGACCGACTGCAGCGGGCTGCAAATAACAAGCCGCCAAGAAGCGCCCTACCTCCCTATCACCTCCGCTCGCCTACAACTCCACGACCGAAAGTCCAACAAGGGAGCCCCGCCGCAGCCAAAGCCCGCCCACCAAAAGGCGCCCGCATTAATTTTCTGTCGCTCCCTCCCTCTTCGACACACAACAACACCGCACCCATGGTTTCCGCGTCCAAGGCCGCCCGTGAGGCCAAGCGCGCCGCTGAAGGAAAGGCACCAAAGAAGACCGCCGCCAGCAAGCTCGCCTCCAAGAATGGTTCCAAGGCCGGCTCAGAGGCGTCGTCGGTCAACGGTGATGAGACCCCGCCACTTCTCGACGGCGACGAGGAGATGGCCAAGAAGAATTCCAAAGCCATGAACGAGAAGATGGCCAAGATGGCGCTCCAGGAAGACAAGGACGGTATCTCAGACCGTGTCACTACCGGTGTGCTGGCTTCTCTCGAGGCAAGTCGCGACGTCAAGATTATCTCCGCCTCGCTTGTGTTCCACGGAAAGGTTCTGATCAACGACACCACACTCGAGATCACATATGGACGAAGATACGGTCTGCTCGGCGAGAACGGTTGCGGAAAGTCCACTATCCTCAAGTCCATTGCCAAGCGCGAATTTCCCTTCCCAGAGCACATCGACATCTACCTCCTGAACGAGGGCGCCGAGCCGTCAGACACCGGCGCGCTGCAATGGGTCGTCAACGCTGCTGAGACCGAGATGAAGAGACTGGAAGATCTTGCAGAGCAGATCCTTGAAGAGGAGGGACCAGACAGCCCGAAGCTCGAGGGTATCTACGAGCGCATCGACAGCATGGATCCATCCACCTTCCACACTCGCGCTGGTCTGATTCTGACTGGTTTGGGTTTCAACAAAAAGACCATGGACAAGAAGACAAAGGACATGTCTGGCGGTTGGAGAATGCGTGTCGCGCTCGCCAAGGCCCTCTTCGTCAAGCCAGCTCTCCTGCTTCTTGACGACCCAACTGCTCACTTGGATCTTGAGGCTTGCGTGTGGCTAGAAGAATACCTCAAGAAGTGGGACCGCACTCTTGTGCTCGTGTCGCACTCCATGGATTTCTTGAACGGTGTTTGCACCAACATGATCGATATGCGCTTCAAACAGCTCATGTACTACGGTGGTAACTACGACTCCTACATGAAGACCCGACAGGAGAACGAAGTCAACCAGCAAAAGGCATACGAGAAGCAGCAAGAAGAAATCAAGCACATCAAGGAATTCATCGCAAAGGCTGGTACCTACGCAAACTTGGTTCGACAGGCCAAGTCTCGTCAAAAGATTCTTGACAAGATGGAGGCAGATGGTTTCATTCAGCCAGTGCACCAGGACCGTGTCTTCACATTCCGTTTCGCAGATGTGGAGAAGCTCCCACCCCCAGTGCTTTCCCTTGACAACGTAACCTTCTCTTATTCCGGCAAGAAGGAGGACAACCTGTACGAGAACCTCGACTTTGGTGTGGACATGGACAGCAGAACGGCTCTTGTTGGACCCAACGGTGTAGGCAAGTCTACTCTTCTCCGCATCTTTACAGGCAAGCTCTCGCCTACGAGCGGATCTGTCTCTCGACACACTCACTTGAAGCTTGGCATGTACTCTCAGCACTCTGCTGAGCAGCTCGACCTCACCAAGTCTGCTCTCGACTTCGTCCGTGACAAGTACCCATCCATCTCACAAGACTACCAGTACTGGAGGCAACAACTCGGCCGATACGGTCTTTCAGGTGAGGCTCAGACAGCTGTTATGGGTACCCTTTCCGAAGGTCAGAAGAGCCGTATCGTCTTCGCTCTGCTTGCCATTGAAGGACCAAACATGCTTCTTCTTGACGAGCCTACGAACGGTCTTGATATTCCTACTATCGACTCGTTGGCTGATGCCATCAACGCTTTCACTGGTGGCGTCGTGGTTGTTTCTCACGATTTCAGGTAAGTTCATGCTTCAAAGAGCATTCCGATGTACAAACACTAACAGTATTTGGCAGACTGCTCGACAAGATTGCCAAGGATATCATGGTGTGCGAGAACAAGACTGTCACCCGATGGGATGGCAGCATTGGACAGTACAAGAACCACTTACGGAAGAAGATGTTTGCAAATGGCGCTGTCTAAGCGAACATTTGCGAAGTACGTTTACGATGCGTTTGTTTGGTTTCTGGCATTGCTTGCGGGTTTTACGATAGCGGATCGAGAGCATGGGCACGCCAACGGACACAATGTGCTACGCTACAACCGCATGGTAATCACTGGGATAGAGGTCTGCGCGCCGCGTGTTACGGCGTGAGGGGGAATAGATACCAAAAAGAATGAATCTAGGAACGACCATGCAACAAACAGACTCACTTCCATATCCATGTGGTGACGAAGCTGATTCAATAGTGTCTTGCGTTGACGGCTCAAACACAACGAAAGCTGAAAACAGACTTACCTCACTGTAGCGAATTGGTCTCACGCAGGGTATACTGTTTGAGACAACATGATCTGGATCTCGAGAAGGGAGAGAAATCATGCTATAAGTACTTCAATGGCCTCCGCCCTGTCATCACACCATCCATCACCACATCATCAGAAGCCCCATTCACCAACCAGGCCTCTTCCACTTACAAAAAGCAAACCCTTTACCACAAACCCATCGACCAAAACCCCAATCATGCCACCATCTAGCTCCAACGATCACAGACCTGGAGCTCCGTCCCCTTCACCAACGAGAATCTATTTCGACAAACTTCGTCGGCAAGGTCTTCAGGATCGGTTTAGTGGCAAGAATCGTGCTCGTTGCGATCATGAAGAAGGATGTGCGAATGATGACTGGAATGCTAAACGGAGAAGGAATGATAGGGATGGGAGGCATGGTAGTAATTAATCTGAGATTTGATGGGGAGGAGTAGGGTTGACAGGTAGGTGAGGTATGAGGGGAGGTATTTGGCGTGGGAAGATGTTTCAGGTTGTGTCTGGAGCAGAGCATCGAATGCATGGAGCGGACTGGAAACGTGGGCGGCATCAAACCACTTTTGACTGAAATAGTCGCTGCTGTCTAGATATCTACTCATCGTAAGCACTGATACCCGGTGCTCTGACTTTCTTCTGAGCCCTCTTGTTCGCTTTCCCATGCTTTTTACTCCCCAATCTCACTTCGCTTGGGTCAATGTTGTTTTCCAGCGCAGTCATCATTTTCAGCTTTCTTCCTGTCATTTCCTTGCCTTGTTCGGAGTACTTGTAGTGGAAAGGTCGGTTGACCGTGCCCGAGCCTTGTCCTGCTGCGAAGAAGGCTTTATCGAGACTTTGGCCTTTACGGCCTTGTGGTTGTGGGAGGGCGACGATGTCGCTTTCAGCGTGCATTATTGAGGCGTCTTCGGTGCCTGCTAGAGATGTGATGTCTGATGCTGCGAGATGGGCGCGGCGCTTTTGTGGAAGATGGGCGAGATCGTAGAGTTCACGATTGAAGTGCTTGCCTTCGATTGGTGGAGTGACTGGTGGAGGATGGCAGTATAGGAGTTTGCCTTTCACGTAATCTTTGAGGATGAGTCGTGCTGCGCGTGCTTCATCGGGCTGTCCGAGACCTTGCGTGGAGAAGCCTCGTGCCCGAGCGTATGATCGCAGCACTTCCTCACCGGTCGGGATGCCAGTTCCACCTTCTTCGAGAGGTCGTGTAATGATCTTCATGCCGTACAATGCTTCAAGGAAATGCTTTGGTATCCGCTGTGCTACTAATGCTGCCGGACCTGTGTATTCACGCAGCTGGTCGATTGGGAGCACGCCAGCGAGAACAAGCTCGGCTTTTGTGTTTGCAAAGTTTGGGAAGACGAGACCCGGGCAATCGCAAAGAATGACTCTGGGCGAAAGATGTATAGTTTGAAAGTGCTTCGTCTTTCCTGGTGTTGCTGAGACTGATACTTTCTTTGCGCCAAGGAGGGCGTTGATGGTTGAGGATTTACCGACGTTGGGATATCCGACAAGTCCGATTTGTGTCTTTCGTTGTGTATCGTCCTCATCCGGATTGCCTGTAGGCGCTGCGGGTGAGTGCTGTAAGAATAAAGCTTCAAGATCATCTGTCGTCAAAATCCGGCATTTCTCGTCTATGCTCATCTCCTCTTGTGGTGGCTCCGGAACTGGATATGGCTCATCGACTTCTTCCTCATCTACCCATTCCTCTTCGTCTGCTTTCTTGTCTTGTACTCGAATTTTCTGTGCTTCTGCGGCAAGCTTGTCAAGGTCGGCATCTGGGTCAATCTCCTCTTCGATGTCGTTCTCGTCCAGACTCTCAGTCTCGGACTCCTCATCTTCGTCATCTTCGTCATCCTCCGCTTCATCGTCGAGCTGATCGAAGGGATTCTTCGCAGCCCCTGCCTCTTCTGCTCTTGCTTCATTCATTTCCTTGGCCAGCTCTGCCGAGAAGAATCTGAAGGCAATGCCTCGCTCGGTGAACCACTCTGCCCATGCCTTTCTCTGCTCAAGCGTCATCATATCTGCCTTATTTACAAGAAGAAGGTTCTTCTTCTTGCCGCCGTCCAGCTCTTTCACGTAATATTCTAGATCTTCGCAGCGGTACAACAGCGGATTTCTCGCATCCACAATCTGCACGACAAGATCGGAGCGTTCGATGACTCGCCATAATTGCCTCCAGACTTCAAGATTACGCTCAAAAGGAGTCATAAGCAGATCATCGACCTCTTCCAGCTCAGCTAACCCTCGCCGCCACTGAAGAAGTGCTTCTCGCTCTCTTTCGTCCAAATCTCGCGCATCCATATCTGTAGTCCATGGCGGGCGTCTTGGCACTGTGAGGCGCTTTCGCTTCGCATTCTGCTTCCGCACGACACCCCGCTCTTCCTCTTTGCTGAGCAGATATGGGTTCTTCTGGTCCATGTGTATGATTTTGACATTGTTCATCTTCTCTGCCGTGAAGTCTGTGCCTGCCAATTCTGCCGTGCTTAAGAACTCGTCCAGCGCACCCTGCTCTGTGACGGAGCGCATCTTCACCCATGCTGCCTCCTCCTTGTTGTTCGTAATATACTCATTGCCGAACTGATCTTTGCGCCTGATTCCTCCCTGTGGCGCATTTCCACGATGCATATTCGACTTGCCCTTGCCAAAGCGGTCGTTCATCAGGCTGTTGCCCAGCCCGACGGCATTCTTGCTCTTTGCCAACACCATACTGTCAGTTGTATGTTGGTGTTGTGTGTGGTGGGCGTGTAAGAAGAAAGGTGGGTTTCTTTGCAAGAAGATCGGCTCTGTAATCAGCCTTATCGAATGCAGGGACCAGGATGATGAAATCTTGGCGCGGCGGGAATTAAACAATTTTTGGTGGGCGACTTTGATGGACCGCTCCCGACTCGAGAAAGCGCAGGTGTGTTGGCGAAAATTGTCTAGACACGAACAACTGCATAGACATTGCAATAGACCAGCGAGTCGCCCAATATGCCTCGACGCAAGTTCATTGACAAGAAGAATGCGACCCATTTCCAGCTCGTGCATCGCGCTCAGAACGACCCGCTTATCCACGACGAAAATGCGCCATCCATGGTGTTTGCAGAGGTTGACAAGCCTCGAAGACCGACCGAAGATGACTACGCATACTCCTCAGCAGGTTCGGCCGACTCTTCGTATCGGAGCAGGAAGACGAAAGAGAGAGGCGATCTCGAAGAAGAATTCGGACTGGCAGTGAGGAAGAATGAGGGAGAGGCAGCGGAGCATGGCGTATTTTTCGACGACACTCAGTATGACTACATGCAACACATGCGCGATCTGGGAAGTGGAGAGGGTGCCGTGACTTGGGTAGAGGCAAAGCCAGCAGCACGAGAGAAGGGCAAGGGCAAGCAGAGACTTGAAGATGCCCTACGGAAAATGGATCTCGATGATGGGCGCAGTGTGGGCCAGAGCAGCATGACCTCCAGCGTGGCGAGAAGTCTACTACCAGAAGAGGTACTACCCAGCGAATTTGTGACGAAGAGATCATACCAAGATCAGCAGGACGTGCCAGACGAGATCGCCGGGTTCCAACCGGACATGGATCCACGACTGCGAGAAGTTCTCGAGGCGCTTGATGACGAGGAGTATGTGGACGACGAGGAGGATATCTTTGGCGAGCTTACGCAAGACGGCTACGAGATTGAGCGCGATGAGTGGGAGCGACTAGGAGAGCAAGAGCTCTTCGGCAATGAAGACGATGGCTGGGAGAGCGATGACACAATCAAAGCACCCGCCTCACCTCGTGAAATGCCGCTTCAGCTCGGTCTACCAGAAGGCGAAGAAGCCGCTCCTCCTGAAGACCCCCATGCCGTACCCACGGCAGACCCGACAGGAGGCGATTGGCTTGACGAGTTCAAGAAATTCAAAAAAGCTGAGAAGAATGACAAGACTGAGCGATCAGGTATACCCGCTGCCCCATCAATGCTGAGGTCTTCTGCTGCGCTGTCTTCATTGGCCGCAGGTCGCAAGAAGAAGCGAAAAGGCGCCAAGACATCCACCACCAACTATTCCATGACATCTTCTTCACTCGCCCGAACAGATCCGCTCACTACTCTTGACGACCGCTTTGACAAGATGGAGGCCGCATACAGCTTAGCAGAATTTCCAGAAGAGGAAGAAGACGAGTACAATGCCGACGCTGGCTCCTTGGCATCAGGCATGACCGGTCTTTCCAGAGCTTCGAAGACTAGCAAATACAGCGCCATGTCAGGCATGAGCCGAGCATCTGGGATGTCGACCTACTCTCGCGCTGATGACGAGGAAGCACCAAAACTGGTGCGAAGTGACTTCGACGGCATCATGGATGATTTCTTGGGCTCTTACAGCACATCCGGAAAGCACAAGCAACGGGTCAAGCGAGGAGGTCCAATGACTGGTATGGCTCAGCTCGATGAGATTCGACAGGGCCTGGGACCTGCGAGGTTCACGAGTAGAGCGAAAAGCTCCGCAAAATAGAGTCAACTCGGAGCACGCTGGCATGATTTCTTTCCACTTGATACCCACCATAGATCGAATTCCATGAACGCTTCACAACAACTTCAGACATGACTTCTACTCTTTTGCTCTCCGCCAAACTTTGTCGCAAATTCTCAAACGAAATGTTCGTGTTCTCAAGATGTCAATAGATCCCAAGACAGGCGATGCTCGAATTCTAAACTCATGAGAACTGCTTCTTTTCGAGCAAAAGAACGAGAGATAGCGCACATCTCACTGTCGGAGACATCTGGACGCTCTATCTCTTCTGATATAACCGGTAAAAAATTGTTGGGTTGTACAAAGACAAAAGAGATGGGATGTGCATCCATCGGGACTAGAAGGTCATTAGACACTGTTCGCCGTGCACTTTCGATCACAGAGTAACTTACATTGAACCCGAACCTGCCGCTTGGGCGTCTGAGACGTGGAAGGCGGCAATCCTAACCACTATAAGCACGTTAGGACACTGACCTAACGTTTTAGCGACTCTATAGAGACTGACTTAGACCATAGATGCGTGCCCAACGGTGATTGGCTAGCGAGGTGAAGCACTTGTAGATATATAAGAGTCAATATGGATTCTATATTTCGTACTATTAAGTCGGTATACTCGATACTATTTCTCGATGCCTATAACGATATATCCTATCGATTAAGTATAGGGCTATAATATAGAACTTAGGATTACTTAGAATTATTAGATAGGCTCTATACTTAGAATAGACTAAGATCTAGACTCTAGATTAGCGCTATCCGACGAGCTAATTCTTTCTATAGACTATAGGTCTCTAGGGCGGGTATACGATATAGGTCGTCGTTGTTACCTAGAGTAAGTATTGTCGCGAGCTAAAACGACCTACTTATTCGACGCTACTAGGAAATATATATATATTATTACTACGTCGAGTAAAAAGAATTCTAAGGATTAATAGAGGAGACTAGTACTATTTCTAAGGATTAAACGTCTAGCTACGTGCTCTATACTACTAGCCTAAAAATCTAATTTCTATCTTAGTCGTACGCACCTATCTTCCTAAGCCTCCTATCGTCCTAGAACATATATCCCTATACCCTCTCCTCCGTTTAGGCAAAAAGAGGAACATCGAGATTAGTATCCTCGCGTAAGCCTAAGCTCTATATCTCCGAGGTACTTATTCTCGTAGCTATAGAATACCTAGCCCGCACTCGGTCTATTATACCGTACGAGCTTACGTTTCTCGCCGAACTTACGCTATATATATTCGTATAATAGATATTTCGAATCTATATAACACTCTTCGATACGATTAAGCATTATACTATAAAAGCCTTACTTCTAGTTTATTGCGAGCGAAGCTCGCCTTATACTAACAAGGGGTACTATAGTAGCTAAATGTGCTAAGTTGCTACTACGTAACTCCCCGGATTTTAGAATTCTAAAGATCTAATTAGCTGTATTCTATACGAACTAGTAGGACGGAAAAACTCGGCGCCCGAATAGCCTTAGGTAAGAATTTTACGTTACTTCCTTATAGCGGACAATAATAAAGCACAATAATATAACACTATACGCTGACAACACTATGCGCCGACAACACTATACGCCGACGCCCCTTTGCGCTAAAGCGATACGTTAAAAGAATCTATAACTATACGACGATACGATACGACGCGCCGTACAAAACATACAGCTATATAAAACATACAAAACAGAAAGAGTTTAGTAGGTTAAAAAAGGATATAAAGGACAACACTTAAGTAAAACTATAGAGCGTATCGGCCGGGGCTTTATAGCGGTCAAATATTGTTATACCTAGCCCTTCGAGACATATTACAAGTTAACTAAGTAAATATACTTAATTTCGGGGATAGTAATATAGAGATATTAGATATATAAATAGATATAGACAAGCGGTCTTAAGGAAGGCTACGTCTATATAGAGCGATAGCGATATAACGGACCGTAGCCTTCGAGACCGCGCTTGTCTATATTATAGAACGTAGCCTAATAACAAGCCTGTTTAGTATTGTCCGGATTACGAGGGTACTAATAGCTTTGCTATATTAAACGACAAAAAGAGATTATAGTAGTAGCTTGCTACTAGCGGCTTATATAAGGCGAAAGCTTCGCTCGTACACTTCTAGGCACGCGCTAGCCGCCTAGGAGCATATATTATAGTCGATATAGCGTTCGATAATGCTATACCGCGCTATACGATCTTCGGCTCTATAGACCTTATCGAAAAAGGACAACCTAAGTTCCGCTAGATACTTATAACTAGACTTATAGCCGTTAGCTATCTAACGAGTTAGTGTTTAGGAATAGACGTCGAAAGGAGGAACGATTATACTGCCTTTACGAATATTAAACTCCTCGCTTACGTAGCGCTATATAGCCCGTATACTCGATACTAATTTACTAGACAACTAGCTACTAACGATAGGACTACTTAGTAGTAGCTTAATTAGGAACGACGCGTAAGCACTAGAAACCCGGCTATTAGGTACCTATATAGTAGAGTAGTATATTGCACGACGCCTTTTAAAACAGGTCGATAGACCTCTTAATAGCTTCTAAGTCTACTTCTTGTCCTAATAAATTATTTAAGTCGATCTTAACTATTAACTTCGTCTACTATAAGCAGACCTATCCCTATGCGTCCGAGATCCTACTCGGACAACTACTAGTAGGCCTAGGGGAGTAGCGGTAGTCCTTTGCCCCTAAGTACTATAAAGTATAGCAATCCTAAGACGACTATTAACGAACAATGCTACGTCTATAGAGAGTGCTATTTCTGCTTTAACTTCGTAGATTCTAGAAAAGCAGTCTTTTATATCGAGTATCTAAGTAACCTGGTTAGAAAAGTTAAGAATCGGAATTTACGGAAGATTTGCAATACGGGTCCTTTACCTTCTATCCCGGATCCGAGGATAACTTCGAGTACGGTACTTAAGAATCCGGATTTAAGTAGACTTGTATAGTTTTGTAATAGAACTGTAGCGAGAACTCCGACGCAGTAGGCAGTTGTATATAGACCGCTATAAAAGGCCGTGCCCCTCGATAAGGGGAGTAATAGAGGACTATCGATTGAAAATTATTTAAGAAGCAGACGCAAAAAGGAAAGTAGAATACAATAGTAGCACTATGTAGGAGCATTGCTTAAAACAAAAGTGCAAAAACTTAAGATTATAGAAGCGCGTCCGCTTCTACTTTGCTTAAGGAAAGTACTTCTCTTAGTAGGTTCCTTTATTATACTATATGTAACAGCTATGTTTAAGTCACCTTTCTTAATAGAGGGCTAAAGCACATTTCGCATGTTTAGGTTACCTTTCCTAACAGAGGCTACAAAAGCTACCTATATTGCTTAAATACGAAGTAGTCCCTTAGATACCTAAAGTGCGACAAGTCCGAAGACGGGGATCGAACGCTCGACCGTAAAATAACTAGTTCTATACGCACCGCGCAGATTGCGCTAAAAGCCCCGTGTTTTGATTGTTATTTAAACCCTTACTAGTGCTACCGGAGCTTTGCCGATTTTTATATGCACGACCGTTAGCGGATTCGGGAGGCTTAGTAACGGTCGACACTATAGGCGGACACGCCTCTTAGTAAAAGCTGCAACTAGAACAGTAGAATATATAATCGAGACAAACGAGCTATTACATACATTAATATATACGGTAGAGAGGCGCAAGATTGTCTACTATTATAGCTATTAAATATTAAATCGGATTCAATTCAGATTCATATTTAATATTAAATATGAATCTAAATACGAGGTTACTAAATATTCGAATATTTAGTAGATTTAGTCGGCAATTCGACGGTTATACTATAGCGTACGTAGATCTCTTTAATCGTGCGAAATTAGGTTATTTGTCGCTTGTTTCTTACTAAAAACTAAGCTCTTTCTATAGGCTTAGAGGATGGACCGCTTCGAGGTAGGTAGATAGAACGAACTAACTAAGGTATATAAAGGTCGCTAATTCTAGCAGGTTGCCGAGTCGCTAACGGCCTCTTAATACGAGGTTATTATATTATTACTACCTTCTTTATTCTACCGCTTTCTATCCGAGATATAAGCCTTCCTCGCTCTATAGGACTATAGGCTTTAATAATAATAACAGCTAAAGAATATCCGCTCGGTCTATCTACCTCTTATTAATACTAATTAGGTAAACGATTATTAGGCTAATTCGGACGATATTTCGTTTATCGAGTACGTGGAATAGGCGGACTTCGAGTAGTATATTAGGGAGGCGGAAAGGGAGGGCTTATAGTTGCCCTTTCGAAGGATTACGAGGAAGACAATAAAGAGCCTTATCTGCGCGGCGGAGATCGTTAAAAGAGCTACTATCTATTAAGAGCGTATCGCTAATAGCCTTTAAAAGGTGTATAAAGGTATAGAGCGTAAAGGACGGCCTGTTCTTCTACTCGGTTCTCGTCGTTACTTCGAATTTAGCAAGAAACTATACTTCTGCTTATTCGAGTACAATTAAGGGCTGAAATCGTAGTGCTCGTAGCGGCAGATATACTTTAGGCGTCGAATCGATAGGGTGCTATACCGGTTAATCGATAGCGAGGCCGCTAGCGGCGGTAGTAAGGTTATTGTTATTAATTAGGTAGATAATTAGTCGAAGGTCTTTAGTATTCTAGTTTCCGTGCCTGCCTCGAGTTTGCGTTATAAGGGTTACGCTAAGCCTAATTAGACTCGCTAACCTACATTCTTAGCTTTCGGATAGCCTAACTAAAGCGGGCCGCACTTAGCCTCTAAAGTCAAATTTCTAAATCTATCTCTTCTAATTAGAACCTAACTACCTTCTTCCTTATAATAAAGATACGAGAAAATCGCATACCGATATAACGAGCGCTCGAAAGCTTCCTAAATACCTAAGAATCCGAATAGGAAAGCTAGAAACTACGGAAACGTAAGCATACGGATAGCGTAGGCGAACTAGTACTAAATCCGACTCTAGACGAGCTTTAAGACACCTAGCAATCGACATCCTCTTCTTTAGCCTTCCTTCTAACTCTAATACTAGCACTAAGGCCTATACTACCGACACTCGCTTAGTAGAAGAAGCTATACTTTGCAAAGAATAAGACAGATCTAGTGTTATAGTCTTATGCTCGAGATCCGTAGGATAGCGAGCCTCCTCGTAATAGATACGGTTACAAATACTTCTACTATAAGCACTGTCTAGTAGACAGTCCTAAGGTATAGAAATTAGTGTCTAGCAACGTAGCAGACTACCTTCTTAAGGCATATAGTATTATTGTCTATCTAGACAAAGATCCGCTATAAGGCCGCATTAATATCGACAAAATGTAGGTAGTAAGCGAGGGCAACGAGGCAAGGCGTGCGGCCACTATTCTAAGGAATACAGCGGAAGCTAATATAGACAAATTTAGGTAGGCTATAGCTCGCTATACTACAGCATATAGTGTCGCTCATTCTTCCCTTGTTTCTAAGGCCTTTAAAGAGATAATATTAGCAGTTAATCTATATATAGACAAGGCTCTTTTAAAGTCACACACTTTAATAATAGTACGAGTACAGTATAACTTCGAGAACTAGCGAGAGAGGGTCAAAATAGCGCTTCTTAAGGCTATTAGTTGCCTCTATATTAGTACTAATATATAGAAGGCGCAATACGGCTATAAGCACTTCTAAGCGATTAACTGTTAGTATATTAATAAGTACGGCAAGCTTACTTAAGTCCTTATTAACCTACCGCCGCTATAACGAGGCTCTTATACTAGCGACTTTCTTGCTTAGCTATTAATCTCGTGCTTTAAGACCTTCTTAATAGCTTATAAGCTTAGCTAGATAACCGCTAACAATGCCGCTAACAATAATACTCTCTACGAGTCGATTGAGCTCTATATATATAAGAAGGGCTATACATACTAGACTAAGTAGAGCCGTCGGCTACGCTGCTTCGGCTATATTATTAACCTTGTTATATAAGCCTTTATGTTTGCTAAGTCTACGGAAGCAGCAGAATTAGCCGATTAAAGAGCGCTTTAAGCACGGCAAGTGCTATTTAATAACTAAGCCGAGAGCGATAGCGACAAGGTCTCTATATCTAGGTAGTTAGATCTTAATACAGAGTGCTTTGCTAAGCAATCTCTACTGCAGCGTCTCTACTAGCTAACTAAGGTCCTATAGCGAGAGAACGACCTCTATAACGCCTTCAAAGAATTATCGGTTGTTTGACTCTACCTATCCGAAGCCGCTAGGTAAGACTCGCTAGAATAGCTAGTTACTAATAATCGAGGAGGCCCTTCAAACAAGGCCTATTCTTAACGCCTTGTTTATTAGTATACTATAGATTAGTAAATACCGGCTCACCGAGGCAGACTAGCTTGTTCTTAAAGAGACACGCCTATTCCTTATACTATTTAAGGAAGCGACTCAACGTCTATAGGGCTATAACGTTACCTTCGACTGCTTCTAAGAGACTATAGAATAGTTGCTTACTTACTTCGAGCGTACTAAGAAGTAGTATACTAAGCGAGAGGCTATAATAAAGGCTATTTACGTCTCTTAGCACCTGTTTAACAAATACTATCGTCTAATCGACGATAGCGGTATCTACGTTACTACAATACTATTATATCTAACTCGCCGTAAGGTATAGCTTCGTAAGCGTTAGTCTAGCAGTAAGAAGAAGGACTAGTAGCTTATTGACGGTCTAGCAAGAGCGAGAGCCCTATAGAATGAATATTAAGTACGTAATAAGCCTGCTTCTAAGGAGTCTACTTCTACTGCCGCTGCCGCTACCGCTGCTACTATAGAAGCTATAGGTTATTTAACGGACATAATAGCGTAGCAACAACAGCTCGAGAACGACGTCCTTACGACTAATATTAACCACTTCGAGTCCTTTATTGCCGCTACGCCTATTAAGTTGCTATAGGTTAGCACCGACAAGCGGATAGGCTAGCTAATCTATATAAGTCCACTTAAATAGTAGTGCCTTCCTATGTAACGGACAGCCTATCCGACACTCTCGTAACTAGCTATTAACTTATTATTAGCCTTCGCTATATCCGCGGAGTCCGAGCGTACCTTTAGTAGTAGTAGATATACGGTTTTATAGGACCGAGCCTCTCTTAATAGTAATAGTATCCGTATAAGCGAGTGTTCTAAGCAATAGCAATGTACTAGCGTAGCGGATATGCTAGTAGATATGCTATAACTAAGTATAGAAGCGGAAGACAACGACGAGTTATATAAATAGCTATAGAATACCCTCCTTCTTAACCCTAAGCGTTACTACTGCCCTTACTATCGCTAAGATTGTATTTGAATATGAATTGAATATGAATATTTACTAACATTCATTAGTGAATCTGAATACGAGCAGTGAATCTTGAATATTCAGTATTCAACAGCTATGTCTGCCATCGGCCTTAGTTCATGCCGACTTTCACATGCACGACCGTTTGCACCGGCCCGCATTTTTCAGGGTCTGGTTGCGACTGAAATCAAAACACTCGCGCTTCTACCGCTGGTTTCAATCACCGAAATCACCAAGCTTCTCGTCCAGTTCCTTACACAACACCAGCGGGGTGGCGTAGTTGATCGCAAGAAGTTGAAGCAGATCACGCCAGAGCAAGGAACGAATGGCGCCGGCAACGAGATTGACGATTATGCCGCGCCTGGCTGGGAGTTCGTCCTCGAGAAAGTACCACCTCCAGCGTATGAGACTACGGAAGAGGGCACCGTCGATGATGAGCCGGACAAGGACAGCCAAGCAGGCCTTGAAGACGAGGATGAAGAAGGGACCTTGAAGGGATCTGGAGATGAACTCCGCGAGGAATCTGCCGATGCTTCAGATGTGAATGAGGACGGAGACACAGATGATGAGGGTGAGGGTGAGGGTGAGGATCAGGCGCACTTCTCCCGCACTTCGACGCAGCCGAACGAAGTCGAGTATGAGGGAGAGTCGTACAGTGGCAAAGCTGGTCGTAAGGCTCGGAAGCTTCTCGAGTTCAAGCAAATCACCGGCAGTCGTATCTCGGACTATCTCGATGAAGCTCTGTGCCCGACCTACGACGAGGCATATCGCAAGGGGGAGCAGAAGAAGGAGCTTGACTGGAGCATTGACCTGATCAACGGCCTCACGGATCTGGTCTTTTACGAGCCGAGTAGTGCAGCTGTCCACTTGGCGCTGTGGGACCGAGTGAGCAAGCGCGTAGCGAGGCACTATAATGCGAGAACCCAGGTCCAAATCGCAGAGGTGTGGTATGTATTGGACAATAAGCGCAAGGAGAAGGAGAGAAAGGAGGAGAGAGCGATGAATGAACTTTGAGCTCGGCTCTGTCGAAGCATATGCGTCCAAGCTCACCGGCGAAAATTCAGGGGCTTTCAAATGCTTGGAAAAGGTGGAGAGTATACCATACGTAGCTGAAGTGAGCCCACTGAACACACATGTAAGGAACAAATTGAACCACACGTCTGTCTCCACTCATACCCTCTCTAGCGGAGGCACCTAGGAATGGAGAATGCTGAACCTTGGGCTCGGCTCTGTCAAAGCACATCTGCGACAATTCAGGGGCGTCCAAAGACTTGGAAAAGGCGGAGAGCATACCTACCTAGGTTCTGAAGTGAGCCTACTAAACACACATATAAGGAACATGTTGAACTATACGTTTGTCTCTACTCATACCCTCTCTAGCGGAGGCAGCTAGCAACTCTGTCAAAGCGCATGCATCTAAGCTTACCGGCGACAATTCAGGGGCTTCCAAATACTTGGAAAAAGTGGAGAGCACACCTACGTAGGTTCTGAAGTGAGCCTACTGAACACACATGTACGGGACATATTGAACTACACGTCCGTCTCCACTCGTACGGAAGGCAAGTGGGCTGGGTTGCCAGGTGCCTCCGCTAGAGCCGTTCTTCCAGAACCTCAGGCACCCACGGAGCGTCTGAAAGGAGACAGCCACACGTGAAGAAAGATCCAATTCAACTCTGTTGTAGCGTGCGTCTCTGAGGTCCCGGAGAGTGCTTCAAAGTCATTTAAAGCTTTCACAAAACGGGAAACGTTCCACGTGTAGGCCTCCGGGGGACCTGGACAGGTTCACTTTCAGAATCAGATTCAAGAATAATCTAGTATCGTAGCACGCGTCTCTGAGGTCCTGATAAGACTTCTAGAGCCTTCAGCTTGTTCAGAAAGATAGAAAACATTATATCTGTATTGCTCAGAGTAAGCTAACCAGACGCCTCCGCGAAGGACAAAATAGCCCCGACTCAATAGTAAAGCCGATGCGATTCCATCTCATAATGCACTTCTAACGCCTCCTAGGGCTATTTAGAAGCTTTTCATCCCTTACCGGACTAGGCAGCATATTGCCTAAAAAGTACAGTAATAATTGCAATGTTACTATCTATTCGTATTTGATCAAATCTCGATCTCTTTAACTAAAAACGCACTGTTCCTTAGCTTAATTTGATCAAATAAGGCGTCCTTTATTAGACTCCTAAATTTGATTAAACAGGGCGTATTTAGTCAATTCTAGGTGTTGTTTCGTTAAGTTTGTATAGAAACCGGATTGTAAGATAAGTCTACTAAGCTATAGGAGGCAGATCCTAGCTAAATTCAATCTCTCTTTACAATACACCTACGCACTATTATTATTACACCGGAGTAACAATAGCAATACTCTAACTTGGAGTGTATGCCTAGGTATTAGGGTCTATTACGTGCCTAATGCCTAAGGCTGCAACTGCTGCACTCTATCTTCGGACTTCTATATAGATTAGTCCTTCTTCTAATACATTAGTTACATTAAGTAGTTATAAGCCCCCTACGTTTCTAACGCATTCTATACGTTTTCTAATAGTTAATCCGACTACTACGTAGATAGCGCTCGTTACTAAAAATTGCGCTAATACTAATATCGTCGCCGCCGCCGCCGCTCTCGAGTGTTCTAGTAGGTGCTAGTCCGACTCGAGTCGGCTACTATTAGTGTTAGCTGTCCGCTATACCGGTTTCTAACATTAGTATTAGCTGTCCGCTATACTAGAATATAGGCGCGCCTGTCGGCCGCCCCTTAATACATTATCGCCGTCGCTGTCTGTAATAGCTCCCTCTATAATAGTATCTAGCGCTTACATAAGCAATATTCCTAAGCTAAAGAATAAAGAAAACTACCTATTATAGTTATATACCGCTAAAGGCGCCCTTAAAGGTATATCGGTTTAGCGCTATATATAAGGCACCCGCTAGCGACCCCTTTCTAAGGCCTCTAGTAAGTCTTCTAAGGAGTTTGAAGACCGCTAAGATAAATAGGACTCCAAAGATTAAATAGCGCGTACCTAGATCTTTGCTAATTGTGTTAGTAATATTTAACAATTACTGCTTAGTCTATCTACATCCTAGGAAGTATAGGACTTCCTTAAGAAGAAATACACTAGTAAAGGTAGGTCTACTGAATTCATACTCTACTAGGAATATATTACCCTTCGGTATAATAGTAAGGACATTAAGAAGTTCTACAATAATTATAAGAAGAAGCTTAGTGCCTTAAAGGATACTAAATTAGCTATTAGCTAATACTAGGCTGTCTATATATTTATTATACAGATCGTACCATTCTACGAGGCATTCGTACAGATGCGCCGTAAGCAGATACGCGCCTTAGAATACACTATTAACGATAACACACTTAACAACATTATTAGCGCGTTGCTTAATAAGAATATAGCTTAGTTAAACTAGGCCTAATACAATAGTTTCTTCGGCCTCTAGCGCTAGCAACTACAAGGTAATAGCAATAGTCGAGGTAACTCGAACCGTAGCGGTCGTAGTGGCCGCGGAAATAGCAACAATAGTCGTAGTCGTAGTAGAAATAACTAGAATAGTTATTAGTCTAACCGTAAGAAGTGCGCCTATTGTTAAGGTTCATACCCTTCTAACCGCTGCTATACTAAGTACCCTTACCTAAAGGAGGAAGACCGACTGCGTCGTAAATAGCAGAAGGCTAAGAAGAAGGGGGTATAGCAACAGTAACAGCAGCAGCGTAGACTAACTGCTTAGCAACAGCAGCAACCGCTATCTAGTTAGAATAGTGCTTAGGGGCTGTATGCGGCTAATGCCACCCCGGGGGTATTATTAGACCTAGGCCACAATTACGCCTTTATAGCTACGGTTACTGTAAGCGACCTAGTATCTACGGCTCTTACTGCTAGCACTCGTACTACTAATTAGGTTGTCGACTTAGGTACTAGTATATATATAGTTAACGACTCTTTATTGCTTATTAAATATAAAGGCTGTTATATTCCTGTTCGGTTTAGTAGCAACACGAAGCACGCTACGATAGTCGGAATAGCTTGGACTAAGGTAGTCAATAAGCGTAGTATAAGCAATATGAAGTTGTCTAATACACTATATGTGCCTAGTCTAGCAGCCAACCTTCTATCTACTAAGAAGCTTGCCGATAAGGGCTATTTCTATCGGAATGATAAGCGAGTGCTATTTACTATTGTTAACGGCTCTAAGGTCACTGTTGCTTAAACATACCGAAAGAATAGTCTCCCCTATCTGTATATACTAACCTCTAGACCGGATAGCTAAGTTATTACGCTTCTATCGAAGAAGGGGGTACTAATAGGTACGATAGAAGAGTAGTATCTACGATATAGCTATATCTATTACCGCAAGCTGTTACGAATAGAAGCTAAGGGTTAGATTGTTATTACTAGAAACAAGACCGACTTCCGAAACTGTATCGCTTGTCGTATAGCAATGTTATACAAGGAATACAACCGACTACTACGAGTGCGACCGTCTACTATTTACTATATTGTCTATATAGATGTAGTTACTATTACTAACCCTAGTCTACTATAGGAACGCTACTTTACGTTGTTTACATACGTAAAATCAGCCTATCGATACGAATATGCTAGCTCGCTAAAGTTAGGGGCTACAGTAGCAATTAAGGACTATCGTATACACGTCCGTACACAAACTAGCTATTCGATCCTAATCTACTGCCTCGATAGAGGGGGTGAATACGGCGGAAATCAGCTATTAAGCTAGGCTCGTAATTAGGGCATTGTACTATAGGTTACAGCACCTCATTCTTCTACTTAGAATAGCCTAGCTAAGGTTAGTAACTATATCGTATGCACGACCGCTCGGAAGATAATACTCTATACGAATTTGCTAAAGGCCCTGTAGCCGTATGCGGTTACTACTGCTATATAGGTCCTTAATATCACTCCTAGAACCTTAGAAGGTCTTAGCCCCTATGCTATTATAGCTAGGGAGCTTAATTAGTCTCGAAAGCAGCTACGCCTTTAACATCTTCGTGCCTATAGCTATACTGCTATTGCATATAATTACGGAGTCGCTCGTAGAAAGAAGATAGATAGCAGAGGCCTTGTTAGCAAGCTAGTTAGGTATGCTAAGGACTTAGTAGACTTAGGGAAATACATAATTTATCTTCCTAACTAGTATAAGGTTATTCCGTCGAAGGATGTCTAATTTATTAAGACAGCTAGCGAGCTGTTGCTTCTAGAGGGCATAGATCTATACGCCAATCCTAATAACCTAGCTAAGAACGAGTTTGTTACACTCGAGTCTATTATACCGGCTCTGTTCAATTCTACAACTAACGAGGCACCGTCGCTATAGGAAGCCGCTAGTATAGTCTAGCAGCTTCTAGCCTAGCAAGAAGAGCCTCTAGACGAGCCTGTCTAGGAAATAGCTAATAAGGTCGCTAATCCATTGCCGCTCGAGGATAACCTACCGGCTGTTTAACCTCTATTAAGTAATAAGGATAGTTTCTAATCTGCTAAGGAACAGCCTATATACGATCTATAGGCTAAGAAGGGTAAGCCTAGTTAGTTGCCTAAGTTTAAGCGGCTAACCGAGACTAGTAGTCGTTCTACGCGTAAGATACGGAGTAACAAGTCGGCTCGTTATTACGCGAGGGACGATTAGTAGGTTAGCTATAGTATAGTATTAGGGTAAGTATCTACGGTTCTACGGAAAGTATATACCGGGCTTAGCTAGCGTACCGTCCCTGCCGTAATAGTACCCCCGTCCGATAGAACGAAGGCTAGCGTACTATATTAGCTAAACCCCTTCTTATATACTCCTTCCGCTTCTGCTCGTTTTCCTTACCGCTCGTATTCGTATTATGCGTTCTCGTCGTCTCGAGTATGTCCTCCTCTCCTTAGTCTAAGTCTACTAGTTTAGCGCGCGTCTTCTTAGTAGCCGACTTTAGCGTAGCCTTAGTATCGGAGCTAGTTATAAAGTTTGCATATTAGCGTCGTCTCTTTTAGTTAGATGTCTCGCCGGTGCTAGTGCTAGCTCGCTTACGCTTTGTTCCGCCGCTCTTGTCTTGTATCTTACGTACGCCGACGTGCTAGACTTGCTTTAGCGTTTCGGGTATAGGCATCGAGGCGGATACCGAGGCTAGTAGGGATAAGGCGCGTACGAAGGGTTAGCCCGTCTAGATTTTCGGTAGCTTGTTCTTGTCCTTACCTTTTAGTAGGGAGAAGGTCTTACCCTTACCCTTAGAGGCTAGGGCGAGAGTACCGGCGTTAGTAGCGCCGTACTGCGACTTAGTCTTACGCTTCTCCGATAGTTGCGGCGTAGCTAGCGCTTCTTCGTTAGCAGCTGCGGTGCTAACGAGAGTCTTAGACTTAACGGCTATAGCGAGCTCGTCCGGTAGGTAGAGGTATAGGTCGGCGCGTTACTCGTTAGTAAGCGACTAGTATCGTCCTATAATACCTATACGCCCTAGTCCGCGGCATAACTTTACTAGATCTGCGTCCTCTATAGCGTAATCGTACTTAATGTCTTTTAGTAGTAGGCCCTTCTTATTACGGATAGCAACCTAATCGCGGTCTACGCTCGGCGTACGGCCTAATTGTAGCTAGAGATATACTATATATAGGAAATAGTCGAGCGCGATATCCGTTAGTATACTATCTTCGTTAGTCGTATTATAGGCCTATATATTCGTAAAGGCGTAGTCTAGGATTGCCTCGACATCGATCTCCGTTAGCTACTCTACCGTAGCAGCCTTAAAGGTAAGGTAGGACGGGGAAATGATTTAGAGCTACTTCCTATATAGGTCGTAGTTTAGGTCCTTATAGTACTTCCGCTAGCGCGCCTACTATTAGCGTAAAGAGGTAACTAGCTTAGTTTCGCCCTCGATATCTAGCGGTATTATAGTTGTAATTATCGCCTAGTTGCTTACGTTGTCGATATGCGTCTAGGTAACCTAATCTAGAGCCTTATAGCGGAAGGTGCCGCTACCTATAAGAATAGTACAATAGGCAATAGCGGCAATCTTGTATATTCCGTTAGGATACTGCTTATAGTATA